TTTGTTATTAAAGAATTTTATCGTTTCGCGAAAGTTAGATTTTTGGTAACACTCCATTGTTTGTGAAATTTTTGGGGCGTTACCTTTTCCCTCCACGTCATTTTCGATAATCGCTTATATACATTTTTTTATGTACAAGGAACAAAATCCTATTTTATTTCCTAAATAAAATCACTTAAAATTTAGAGTTAGGTATATAATATAAATTCATATCATTTAAGAGACGTGACTCTATATGATAAGGGGCATAAAACCTAAATCCAACATATAAAAAAATTAAAAATTACAAATATAACCGTCAAATATTTCATTTGTTCCACTTGCTTAATGACGTCTAGTACAGTGCAGTTTAACATACCAAACATTTCATGACTAAATTCCTAATACGTTTTTACAAATTTAACAAACCTAAATCCTAAGAGTACTAGGAACATCCCTTTATTGAGATCAAATGAAGGATAAAATGCTCTTCACTTCTTAAATTTCTTGATCTTGTCTTCCTGCAGAAAATCAAGCAAAACAGTGCTCTTACATTTGGGGCATTTTGGATCCTCCTTGAATAGCATGACGTACATGAGACATCGAGGACACCCGACCAGCATCATGGAAGTGGCCTCGGGGCTGCTCAAGTAGTGCAAAGTGTCGTCCGGGCTGCCCTCCAGGGACATGCACACACTTCTAGGCGATATTTCGATAGATGAAACAGATGTGTTGGGGGATTGAACTTGTACACTTGCCCTTGGTGGGGATAAATTCAGTTTCAACTCAAGTTTTGGACTCTCAGCATTGTAATTCATTTTCTTGAATGAATGTTTAATATGCTCAACTAGACATGATTAACAAGGAAAAATTAGTTTAAAATTCCATCAGTTATCCACTAACACGCCGACAAGTATGCCTTCTATGTATATATAACAAGTTTACATGTAAAAGTATGCTACTCATAAATAAGTTTGAAAATAAACAAGTTACTTATTTTTAACAGCAAGGTAACAAAAATGTAACTTGTCAATGGAATAGTAAATTAAACAAGATGGAAAAATGAAGAAGTGATAAAGAACACAAGATTAACTTACTTAGGCAACTTCTTCAACCAAAACTTGAAATTTCGAGGCCAATTTTTCTAAGTGTTTGCTTTTGCTTCAGTGCCTTCAAGAACAATATATATATAGCAACAAATTGGAGAGATAAAAGTACAGAAATTTAATTCGGAATTGATTACTGATATTAATAGTCAGAGGTATAAACTAAACTGAATTGAATTGTAATAAAGGAGAGGGCAGAAAGTGTAAAAATCCCTAGAAATTTGGTGGCAAAATGAATTAAAACCAGTAAATATTTTGCAACAACAGTTTGGTAATAGCTTCATTCATTGCAGAGGAAAGATCTGGTGTGTATAATATATGTAATGAGAGCAATTAAAATCACCATTTATGGCCAAACTGCTACCAGGTTGGACATTAAAGCCAGGCCATTTGTTAACTCTTGCAACATTCATTATTTAGGAGTACATTTGTTTTACCCGGCATGTTGGGTGGGCAATACTACATAGGACGATGAGCAAATTTTGTATTTTTCTTGTTCAATAATCAATACTGTCCACCAACATGTTTGGTGGACAGTACTGGTATAACGACTAGGATCTCGACTCTATAAGAATTTTCGCACCAACATTTAACTTGAGAACTGTCGCTCCCACCGCATAGCTTCCCTTATTTATGAACTGTGCAAGCTGCAACGAACTATAGTCGTAGAGAGTGAGAAAGTAAAGAGTTCTCACTCGTCGTGAAAGACAACTTTATTCTCATCTTGCTTGCCATGTTACGACTTTTTCGACCCAGCAACTGCAAAAAACAGATTCAACATTGAGTCATTTTACTTGAAAACACAAACTACTGCTACTTCTAGCTGGAGTAAATAAATGTGAAATAAAGAAAGACCTAAACAAAACTAATAGATCAGAAAATGAATAGCTACAGTACACTGGTAGTTAACAATCAAGTGACACATCAATATCTTAATGTACATTGTACAAATCTTTTGATTTTTTTATCAATCAAAATCTGTACTGTTTACAATTGCCAATCTTTGGGGGAAACTCACCCCAACGAACCTTATTAATGTATGACCAGAAATCTTTCCAAGATTGTGCTGAGTTACTTTATATCTAGCAACAACCCTGCAGCTTAAAAGGATTATATATTTATTTTACATAAAGCATTCTACCAGTATTTATTTGTACAATAAAATCCACTCTCTCCCCCAAGTCCCCAACCACAGTGTCTTCAAGGCATGTTAGTGGTGTTAATAGGCTGGGCCAGGATAGTTACGGTGAGGCCCGGAATGGCCCAGTTACTGTCCGGCAAGCCTAGTCAGCGACATTTCTATATTCTGATGGGCCCGCCCGAAACATGACCCATGCCAGGCCTCACTCACTTCGACTCCACTGGAGCATGTTCGGCATGGTGGGCTGCACTGCTATACTACCAGGATTAAAATTGTCAGTTATTATGTTGAGTAATTGAAAATTTCCATATAGTCCCTGCTTCTACTTCCCCTCTACATCCTTCAGTAAATCCTTGTCCATTTAACGAATTCAATATATCAAATAAGTCATTAGTGTCTATCGTATTGATATTTATCTCGAGTTGAAGCCAACTTCTTCATAATGCAAATTTTGCAAAACCCACTTTAAGACTTGTGAGTTTAACCGAGAAATTTTCGTGATCGTCCCCACTCTACATCCCCTCTACACCATTCTGTAAAGCCCAGTCCACCCAACTAATTCACTGTACCAAACATGCCATCGGTGTCTATCCTATAGATATCCGACTCCAAGATTTAGCCTTCTCCTTTATCCAAATTTTGTGAACCGGGATCACCAAACTATAAATATTCATCTACTTAAAACCTGAAATAAATATATCTTTTATCTGGCCAAAATATGTCTGTCCCCAGTCCACCAAAACTCAGTATTATCCCTAATCCCCACTTCTGCAAACAACACATTTGGTTGTTCGAAAATAAATGTTCCTTTCACAGATAACATTCTATTATGGAAAGTTTTTAAAATTTCATATATAGACAAGTTTTATGAATAATGCATCTGTCATGCCCCCAACTGCACACACATTGTGGTTTACGCTCCATTGAGTTTAAAATTGAAATGGGCGGAAATGTGTGTTTTTTTTTAAAACTGTCCAATAATGTCAAAACACGTGGCACAATGTCAAGCTTGTTGTCAAAGAAAAATGTACGTGTAGCATGATTCTTTATTTTTATAAAGTGAAATGATTATTTGCTCCACAAGTTTCATATAGTAAGAAGCATTCATTTTATAGCTTTAAACAGACAAAGATAGAGCAAGCACAGTCAAATAAGAACCTCCTAGAATTTAAAGCATAACCAAATAAAGCAGGACAATGTTTCTGTAGATCTAGCAAAAAAAAATAAAAAATCACGTAGCCGATTGTTGTAGAATTGAAGATGTAGAAAGAATACACATACAATTTCAAAATGTAAAAGGGCTAAAATATCTATGTTACACCAGTGAAATACATAGAACAAGCTTTGAAATCGATGAACAATTTTCGTCCATTGAGAAAACAAAATTATGAGTGTGTTTTGAACACATTCTTTTGAAAGAATGTATTATTGAATAGTAGATTGATGGAAACTGTG